AGTTGAGCGTGAAGACAAGCCTGCTGGAGACACTACTTGCGGTGCTGCACTGGACCGTGCATCGGAATGGCTTTGGTAAAGGACTGACAGAAAGCACTCTCAACGGTCGCACGAAATCCAAGGACGAGCCTGTGCCTCCGCCGTCACGGGTCACCCACACGGCGCTGGCATGCACCGGCCATTGACACGTCCTTTTTTCGTGTGCCGGGCATACCCCAGAGACATCTCTTTCCTTTGCTGTTTTTTCTTTTCCTACCCTTTCACCCTATCGCGGGACTGACTGACGTACCGCACTTGGGTCTTGCTCCAAAGCCGTTCGCAAGGCGTCATTGACGGCCGTGAAGAGGTTCATCCGCTTCGTCGACACTCCCGGGCCAGCCGTGTAAGCACGCCTCACGAGAGTGTCCTGGATCATGTGGGTATTATGGGGATTGGTGGTTGACTTTGAGGCGAAAAAGCGCGTCGGAAAAAGGAAGGTGGGGGGTACTAGACCTCAGAGTACTTACCGTGACGGCGGCCGGTAGAGCAATACGAGAAGATCGACGACGACCAATCTTACAACTTCCACGACAGCTACCCGTCGAGATGCGGGCAACGGCAGCAATTGTCTTCATTTGCGGCCCCATATGAACGTGTTGTCCGGACGTGTCAGTGTCGTGTTCAGAATAATTCGCCGTTTCCCTTTGCCTTTGCTCCCAAGCCTGGTGGCTGACTGGCCACTGTCCGTCACCTGACAAAAGGGTGTACGTAAGGGAATGCATCGTTACAACATGCCATGATCCGCAACGAATTATGCCTGTCCTGCATGGTGCGCAAGTGCTTTTGCGCATCCAGATTTGGGCCCAAAACGCGAGCTTGAAGCTGGCGTGGGCGAGTAAGAAGACGAGACCTGTGTTCTTGTTCTCCTTGGGGTCACATACATCGACAACATGAAGTCATTGACGGCGCCGCTCGTTCTTCCCTTGTAGCATGCGTATCGACACACTCACGGCCAGGCAGGCATTTCTCAGGAAGCGATGGAGGGAGGGCAGGGGATTTGTGTCTATGGAATGTGGTGCCGGACTTGAAGCACTGACATATCACCATCACTCAGGCGACGCCAGAGGGTTATTGTCACAAGGCGAAGCGCTTTTCATATTTAGCAAAGTTTCCTCCACAATTTGAAATCGTAGGGCATTTGGGGAGCTTGAATGAAAAAGAATGCACGTGGGAAAAAAAAACACGGTCAACATCAGCCCTTCCTCGGATGCCTGCCTTACGCCAAGCGTACGCGCTTTTCAAGACAGCGCACCGTTCTTCCTCCCGAATTAATACGCTGCACAGTAAGATTGGCTTCTGCAGACGCACTCTCTCCTCCGCCGCTCATGTCCTCCTTGTCGGACGGCTTTGTCTATTCTCGTCCTCCCTTGCCTGTAGGGCCTCTGTGCCCTCTCTTGGCATAGCCTTTCCCAGGCTTCCTCGTCCCTCTCCTTTTCTGTCTCCCGGCGCTTCCCTGCAAAGTGTATTCTACTCTAAGCTATGTCCGTCCTCTCCACCCTGTCCCCTGTCGAGCAAGCAGCTGAGGCCTTCGGCACAGCGTTCTCGCGGTTCCAGCGCGCTCCCTCCCTCCATGACCTCGTTGCCGGCCTCACTGACGAGGAAGAGTGGAGGTACGGTACTTCCACAGAGAGGAGTGACCATGACGAGTGACAGCACAGGAGAGGCTGGGAAGCAGGGGCTGTCACCCCCAAAGCGTCCGGGACAGCGACTGTCCGGTGCTTATTTTTGCCCAGGAAATGACTAGCCAGACACAACTACTTCCCATCCTCTCCCTCCCCGTGCCTTGCATTGCTCACCCCGCGTGTGCCCTTGCCTTCATGGCGCCTACGAACCCGATCGTCAAGCGGCTACACGCCCTTTATGACCCCTTTGGCGCGGCCCCCTCTCCAGGGACTGTCCCAGCGGGCTCTGATTCCCACCCTCCTCCCTCCATTCCTCTTCCCCTCCCTTCGTCCTCTTCCCTCTTTCCCTTCCTTTCCCTTTCAGCCTCCTCGCGCGCTCCCACGCATTTTCTGGCGGTGAAACTCTCCTCGCCCGCCCTTCATGCCAGTGTCGCGGCTATACAGGAGGAACTCATCCGGATGTACGGTCTCTCAATGGAGGTTATGGTGCCGCCCTCGAAACTCCACGTGACGTTGGCTGTCTTGAGGTTGGAGGAGGAGGAGGAGGAAGGGGAAGAAGGGCGGGAGGAGAGACATGGGGAGGAGGACGTAGGTAGGAGGACAGCTGGAGGGAGGGAAGAAGAGAGAGGGGCAGGAGGCCGGATAGAAGGTGACAGCGTGCACGAGCCAGTGAGGTGGAAGGAGGAGGACCGAGAAGGAGCGGACAAGGGCAATGATGCGACGCCCTGGAGCCACGTCATGGCAGTGTGCGGGGAAACAGGAAGACGCTTGATGTCCGGGAAGACAGCTTTGGCCAATGCTTCAGCAGCGTCGTCCTCGGCCCTTTCGCCCTCTCTTACGCCCTCTGTGTCCTTGCCCACAGTATCCCAATTGCAGACGTTCATGTCCTCTTTCATGGTAGAGATGAGACGTTCGCTCCTGAATGAAAACGGGGGAAAGGCGCCCGAATTAAATTTTGTGGGATTGGGCTCTTTTGGGGAACGCGTCGTGTTCGTCCGCCCCTGTGAGAATGGACAAGGGGCCCAGTGGATGCAGCGTATGGTTTTGCGGCTTCGAGAGGAGCTGTTTAGTAATGGATGGTCGGTTGACAGAGCACCGGGCTCGTACAAAGATGTGACGTTGCACGGGACCATAGCCAAACTCAGCAAGTTTCAAAAAAAGAAGGGAAGAGGCAGAAAGACGAAGGGCGATATGGACCCCCCTTTACTGGGAAGGGATGTGTGGGGGATGTATGATGAAATGTGGGCGTCCCGAGGGGTGATACACAACGAGGTATGCGAGAGAGTACAACTCTTGAGAATGCGGGGCAATGCCGATGGGTATTACGAATGCCTTGCAGAATGGCATTTCGTGGCAGAAGACGCGAAGAAGGAAGAGGAGGTAGATATGATTAGGTAGGGACAACGGAAACGAACCTTGGCAAAGGGAGGGAACAAATAAAAAGGATGTCCACATTGGGACGTAGTTTTACTCGGGGTCATAGAGGAAGACAACTGACATGAAACCGTGCAAGAAAGGCGTTGATTTCCGGGCAGCTAAAAAGGCAATTTGCAGCTGTATGTAAGTGGCATTTATATGAAAAATGTGTACACTGGTTGTCGCGCTGTTAAACATTAGAAGTCATGTAAATTAGGAAAGAGGCACTACTACGATAACCTCCCTGTGCTCCTGCAGCTCGAAAGACAGGGGATCGCGCAATGCCAGCCGCAGATTTGAAGTAAAGCCCCTATTGTGCCATTTGTTTTCTCCCCATAGTCTCATGCCCACGCTCATACGGAAGTGAAATTCTATATATCGTAATCAGGGACTTTCTGGGACCTTTGCCCTCGACAAGCTTCCAGGGCGCATTGTGTTTCTCCTTCCCGGAAGCGTCCGCTACGGCTCTGGCTTGAAGATGCAGCAGCACTTGGCAACAACAACATTATTGGTTGCCTGTCTGACTTCTACCAGCACAGCGTTTCATCCTCCTCCCATATCAATTTCTCCCTCGTCGTCCATTCCTTCGCGCTCCTTATACCCAGCATCCGGAAGTGATAAGAACCTAGGCTTTCCCTCATCGCTCCATCGATCATCACCATCATATGCTGCCCTCTCGTTTGCCAGCAATCAAGACCCAAGAAGACAGTACTCGCGCCGTCCATCACGGAAAGATGACAATTCACAGCAAGAGCGTCCTATACAAGGCGCCTTGCCACAAGTTGAGGAAAGAATGTCCTCCCTTTCCCCTTTGGCCCGCACTGTTTTGCGCGCTTTACCTACAGTCCTTGTCGTTGTCTCCTTCCTAGTGACCTGTGGGCCCGCCGTCGCGCACGCCGCAGCATCGTCCTCTCTTCCTACGTCCGTCACACCTACACGCGTTAATAAGGTCAAGGAATACATCCTCAAGCCTATAGGCCGGTGGGTCGGGGGAATAGGCAATGCCCCGCCGCTTAAAATGGTCCGCGATACCTCCCTGTCCCTTTGTTCCTGGACGACGCACGGTCCCGTGGGGCAATCCTTGGCGAAAGCCTGGAATGAGCCCGTGGCCAGGTACATGCTCGACCCCACTGCGCCCGTTGGTCCGTACAACTTGCCGGGCCGTGTGCTGGAGGCCATCCAAGCGCGCATCCCGCCCTCCTGGTCCCCTCTCGGGGTCGTCGCCCTCCTCTCCTTCCTCCCCATCTTCGAAGCCCGGGTCGGCGTGCCCTTCGGCTTGGCCCTGGGTGCCCCCTGGTTGAAGGCCTTGGTCGTGGGACTGACCGCGAACGCGGTGGCGATTCCCGTGGCGGCGGGGGTAGGCTTGTTCTGTAAAAACGTGGAGGGGGTGAGTCCGGTCCTGGAAACCGCCACTGCCGCCCGCGCCCGGTACCAGACCTTCGAACGGGCCTACCAGGAGTTACAAGGGAAGTTGAGCGTGAAGACAAGCCTGCTGGAGGAGGAGGAAACGGGCCTGCGGACGACCATCGACCGCGCCATTGATGTGGTCCGGAAGGGGCAGGTCCTGATGGACAAGGCCACGCGGCAAGGACTTGTTCGAGAGATCACGGAGGCCTCCCGTCTGCTGCTCCAATTGAACGACGCGGACACCCGACAATTTTACGCGCGCCTGGAGGAGCAATTTTTCGACACTAGCGTCGGCAGCGTCCTGCCCGACAACGAGGACGGTGCCTTCGCCGACGTAACCGTGGCCGAGCTGGGCCAGAGGCGGGTGGAACTGGCATGGTACCCGGATGTAACCCTGTTCCCGATGCTGGGGCAGGCCGTGGTCACATACCAGTTGGAGGAGATTGCCGCTCAAGCCCAGGCGGACTTTTGTGTCCGGCCCCGGGAGCTTCTGCTCTTGCGGGAGGAAGTGGCAAGCCTGAAGCAGGAGGTGGAGAGGGAAGGAGGACGGTTGAAAGCAGCGGCAAAGAAAGCGGCGGAGGCGGGGAAGGAAACGGTCAGTTTGGCGCGGGAATTGGAGTCGGGGGTACTGACGCCCGAAGAGAAAACGGAAGCGCGTAAACGGGCCATGGCGGAGGCGAAGGAAGCCACCACGTCTGAGACAGGTCCGGGTAGCTTTGTGCCGATTGCCGAACGGGAAAAGGAAGAAGATGCCCGGGTGGCGGAGCTGCAGATGCGGGGGACCTTGATGAAGAACTACGGATGGCCGAAATCCATTGTCTACGTGGGCGTGCCCCTCCCCTTGTCAGGGGCTTGGACCGCCATGTTCTGGTCCACCTGCTTGGGGATGAAATATGGGCCGTCGGCCCGGGGGACCTTGGTGGGCGTGGGGCTCTCCACGCTCATTGGCTTGACCTTGTGGTTGGCGGGACCCACAGGCGTGTTGGTGTATGCGCTCGTCCTAGCGCTCATGTACGGGGAGGAAAATCCGTGGACGGTCCTTGGCCGGGGGCTTGTGACTGTGAAGGAGGGTTTGATGGGCTTACTGGGGGGAAGGGGCAAAAGGTAGAGGGGAGAGGCAGGGGGAGGAAAGGGTTGCGGGCGTGACGCAGGTGCTGGGAAGCAAGCGAAGCATAGAGGTAGTGTTGGTGCCATTTGAATTGGGAGGATCGCTTCGGGCGCCCAAACAAGCGTCGCAAAGTTGACACGCATGAAAGAACAAGAGTACAAAATTGAGTTACCCTAACAAATTGAGAATAGAGGCATGACGGCGACTCGAACGAAGGAGCCCCCGTAGCAACGTGGTATTGGCATGAATGTAACGGTGCCTGGGTGCAGCTTCTCTTGGAATCAATCACGGTTCTTTGTCTTTTCTCGAATCAATCACGGTTCTTCGTCACCGTGCCCATGCTACCATTGGTCCTGAGATTCCTGCCCCCGGCAAGGTGGGAGGACCGCTTGGGGCGGGAGTCCACACGAGACATTGCTTTTGGATCATGTATCATATGAGCGAAAGCCATCACGTCCTCGGTGCAACAACCGCCCACGCACAACATCCAGGCCGACCAAAACGACGCCGGCAGCCAAGGTCCCGAAAGAACGATGCATGTGGCTTTCCTTCACATACTTCCTCTGCGTCTTGCCCCCCCCCGGGCGACCCCTCCACCCCTAGCACACTCTGTACAATCCCCTCCGCTCCCTACCCATCCGGTTTCATATCCTCTACACACAATGTGGTCCTGCACGCCTTATGCTC